CTCTCTTTAAGGTTAAAAATTATTTTATACTTATGATCTTCCTTTCTTTGCAAAATTGAGTAAATTTTTTCGAAACTTATATGTAATGTATTCTTCGTTAACTTTATAGAAGGAAGATGCTTGTATATTGTGTGAGCAAGATTTGTCTACAGTCGACGTTCAATCGATGGGCCTCCCTCTTTAAGATTTGTTTCCAAATTCAGCAATACAAAGCCAAGAGAGAAATACTTTTAAAAAAGATGCAAGAAATATTCTTACTCAACGGATCCAAGACGGCTGAGAGTTTCAAGTGTGGTATTACGACAAACGAGATAATTTTATGAACTTTGGAATATGACATAACAAAGTGCTGACTTCAATTGCTAGAAAAGTGAATAAGGTTCATGGTGGAAGAACCCTTTTGCTTGGGTTTGAATAACTTTAAGAAAAATTTAAGAAATTTAGAAAAATTTCTATGAAATATGTTTCAGTAAGGTATTCCTAGAGACTAGATATTAGACTAGATGTGAAGCTTCAATTATGATAAAAAATTTTTAGCTGAGCAATGAGCAATGAAAGAGTACTTACATATTATTCAAGTGAGACAACCCCGTTAAAAGTACCTCAAACAAGATATATCTGCCTCCATATCCTTCAGTACATACCTTCCGCCAACCAACTTAGTACTCTTCTCAGCGCTACGAGATAATTAATGTTTCGCAACCTAACCAACAGTGACGTAACAAACTGCCGCATCACTTTTTCGGGGCATTTGGGAACAGGGTTTTCGGTCGCTTAAGCGCGAAATTAGTCAATTGTGTTCTGCAATGATTAAATGCCGTTAGCACACATATACAAGCATATACACACATGCCACATCAAATCAAAACAATATAGTGGGCTTGCACTTGCAACATATCCGTACCTAAAACCCCGTTCTCAGCGCTACCCTTGGGATCCACCGTCTATTGTGTCTGCAAGTAAAACTACGATAGTTGTGTTGTTGTTTTTGGCAAATACAGTTGCACATTGTCGCGTGTCGGCTGGTGTCTATTACGACCAATATGTTGTTGCAAGAGCCACAGTAGCATAACTCTTGTGTGTCCACACTCATAACAAACATTTGTTGCAACTGCTGCACAATGACGCGCCGCAGCAACACATACATCATTCTGAACGCCACATCAACACCAGTTGCAACAACAACAACAACATACGTTATGCGACTCCCTAGCGACATGAAATCATAAAGTACCGGTATCATAGTTAGGCCGGCCGCCATCGCCTCACGGCTGTTGCAAGCTTTATTGTTGCAACGCGGACAATTTGACATAAATCTGAACGCATGCTGCGTTCGTTACACTAGTGTACCTTATCGCTGTTCGCGTTCTCTGCATAGAGTGTTTTGTTTTGTTTTTGTGTTGCAGTTTTTTTTTTGCCGAAATTGGGATCGGTCGAAGGCGTCACTGCACAAGGTCTGAATCACCGACTGGTGGATTTCTACGAAAAATTGTTTCACTTTTTTTCTTCTCACTGAACATTCTCTTGAGAGTATTCGACGCAGTAATCGCCGTGGCAGCCGAGGAAGAGAACGAGAGAGTTGGAAAGGCCAAGTGGATAAGGACCTGGCTACACTAAGAATCTTCAATTGGTGCCAATCAGCCAAAAGGAAGAACGACTGACGGGCCCTTGTAAACTCGGTTGCAGTCATGTAAACAGTGTCTACGCCTATAAAAAAAGAAATAGAAGCTATTTTAACTGTTAAAATTGCATAATCCATTTTGTTAAACACAGTTTCATCCAAAATTTTATTTACCCAGTTTTACATAGTATGCTATTTGGTAATAACTATGAAAGACCTTTTTCATATTAAAATAACTACTCCAGGTATATTGTAAAAAAATTGAAAACTAATAGTCCAACATCTCTTAAATAATTTGATTCTTAATTGGACAATTAAGTACAATTATTTACAATAGGGCAATTAACTAATTGATCAATTAATATTTAATATGCAATTTTAATATCGATATCAATCCGTATGATGTTCGATAAGAGGGAAGAGAAAAGAGGAGATGTTTCGTAACATATTAAAATCAAATTTGAAATTATGAGCTCCTCAAAAAACTTAGTTTTTCGATACCATTTCCTTAGAACACTATCGATCTTTTTCCCAAAGGATAATGTCAGACAATATCAAGTCTTGTTCGGGATAATCTCGACCTCAACATATACTCTCGGTCAACTGTTCCACTCTTGACAACGCGCTTGAAGCAAATTAGGCTCAAAAGATGCAAGCAACTTCTTCAGTGGCACGTAGTCAGCGGATATTAAAGTAACTTTTTTAGAGATAAAAATAATATTTACGCGTTAAATTAGTTCTTAATAAACAAAATTACAAAATCTACGAAAAAACTTCTATAGACGCAATAAAGGTCCAATAGTACAACGTGGTGGCCATCCAGCTGCTGTAGTGTATTGGTGGGTAAAGGCGTAATAATTTTTTTTTTTTTACGATAAAGAGGTTAAAACTGTGGTAAAAATATACCAGCAGAAGTCGTGGTAAAGCAGTTAAGCAACAATTTCTTCCAAGGATAGGATTGTATCTTCCAGCAAGACTCTGCACCAGCACAAATCACCAAGCAATGGCTTAACATCAATATTCCTGTTTTCATAGCTGCATATGATTGGCCTTCTGAAAGCTCAGATTTGAATTCATTGGACTACAGCTTGTGATCAGAGTTAGAGGACATGGCGTCTCGAACATTGAAGAGTCTCAAAAAAAAAAATCTATAAATAAATTATGGCTACCCCCATAGTACATGTCACACAACATTACTCTGCCTAAAATTGGCACCCCCTAATAACTACCCATTGCACCTAGGAACACCACTTACAATCACACCATACCCGGATATCATTACAATTGATAACACCAAATACCAGCATTTAAGAAAATAGACTGGTAACCCCTTCAACATTTCAATATAACTAGCGATCCTGCGCGCTAGTAATTCAATCGTCTCAATCTCAATTAATACGAAAGCAATCTTCCGCGTTATGTGTATTGTGTGAAAGATTAAAGGCCACCGTCAACCAACTGATTGGACCTTATCAGTGTTTCTTCAGACTTGCAAAATCAACACTGAGCAGGTATTCACATTCGCCAAAACTTGGAAAAGACCCATGAAAAAAGTATCGACACACATCGCCTGTTCGTCGACTTTAGAGCTGGTTTTGACAGTACGAAAAAGAACTGCCTCTTTGCCGCATATGCTTGAACTTGATATTCCCGCAAAACTAATACGGTTAGGTAAACTACTCTGAGCAATACTCCGTCAGGATCAGTAAAGACTTTTCCGAGATCTGGATTTTGGATCTGCAGAAGTAAATAGAGAAGGTAGAATCCTCAAACAAACTGTCATCGCATTCGCATAGACTTTTCGCCCACGTCACTGTTTACCGTCATAATTTCGAAGTCGTAATTATTTCGTCTATCTTTGAACCAGCATTAACACCAACAATAACAACATCAGCCTCAAAATCCAAAGTAGATAATTGAGAATTAAAATGATCTCTCGACCAACAAAGACTAATTCTACAAGTCACTCATCATCCCCGTTCTGCTATATGGTTCATAGGTATGGACGATGACAATATCGGCGCTACGAGTTTTCGAGAGAAAAGTTCTGTGGAAGGTTTGTGCTCCATTGAGCAACGGTGAACGTAATATTAGTAATATTGGAGAGATCATCACAGGGCGTTTACCTTTAAGACCACACTTTCGGAAAATAAAAAAAGCATTGGGCAGACGGGGTGGAAAAAATTTGGATTCTTTTTTAGAAATCCACTGAGTTTCCGGATGTGTGGACGGACGGACGGTGTTAATAACGGCCTAAATGCGACCAAATGCGTACGTACCCCTTTTCAACCAACCAACCCAGTAGTACATACGTATATTACAAAAAAGTACCATTAGAGCAGTGATACCAATGACATTATATTATTTGAAAGACTTTTATGCTTTCGCACGACGGTCTGACGTATTTGAAACCAAAGAATGTTAAGCAAAAATTAAAATAATTTACTTTCTAACCGATAATTAAAAAAAGATAAAAATAAAAGTTGAAGTAACCATAGTAGAAAAAAATATTTGAAATAAAAACAATTTGTGTGTTACAGTTTTTTCTTCAATGCAAAAGTTGATTTCTCATTTTATTTATTTAAAAAACAAAAGCATATTACAAAATAATCATAACCAAGTTTATTTCACGTCATACAAATATTATAAATTATTAAAAGCAAAGCTTAAGGCTAAAATTCAAATTCAATTTTAATAAATAACAGCTTAAACAAACTAGAATTAATTCAATGAAATTAACATAAACTAACAGGTAGGTAAGCAATGTTATATACTAAATATGTAAATATGTATGTATGTAGGTATGTATGTGCTACAACTTATATAATAATGCATGATGTGGAAAAACTTAAACACAACGCCTAAGTGCACTCGACTAAAGTACAGTACAATACACGGGAAACATTTTAACAGATTTCATAGAAAATACGATAGAAAACATTTCAGTGAGTGAAGTAATAGAAACAGTAAAAAATAACTAAAATTACGATAAACATTTTTGGTGCAACAGAATAAATAATAATAGTGTTTAATATAGTCTTAAATATTTTATATTTCATTTAAAATATTAAAAAAAAAATTTATAAGAATAAACAATGAAAAGTAGTAGTAGAACTCGAACTGGGTGCGTGTGTGTTTGTGTCTTTTTTTGCCGCTTAACAACACTGGCCGCCAACACTTGGTTGGTGTAACAAAAAATCAAAACAACAACAACATAAAATAGTAATGATTCAAAAGGAAAAGTGTTTTATTTCATTAAATGAACTTCGATTCAAGTTTTTTCGATTTTAAATAAAATTTAGCAATAAATTAAGCAAATCGTGTAGAAACTAATTAATTGAATAAAATTTAGGAATTTTTGTTCAACGCCGTTTTCATATTTCTCTGTCGTCCGGCTTTCACAAGCCGTAAACGCAGTTACTCGGTTGCTTGAAGAACGCTTTCTTTGTCTTTTGACGCTTCATTTGCTATCTCGCTTTATAATAATACAAATTTGTCTGAGAGTGTGTGCATGTGTGCGTGCACACATTCATTTAACACTAGCAATAAATAATAATTAAATATATTTTGTAACTTAAAGTTAAGCAGCTTAAAAAATTAGAATAAATTACTACAATGCAGTTGGGAATAGTTTTCAAATGAAATTATGCTTAAAATTAATTTGTGGGTTTCACAATCGCCTTGTTTCTCACATACAAACTACGAATTCGTTAAATCAAATTATAAAACTAATGAAATCCAATTATCCGCTTTTCACTATAAACTAACTGATTATTTAACTTAAAATTATAACAGTAACTATGTCAATAATCTCTTAATTGTCTAGCTTGTTTGTTTTGCGATGAATGTGTTTATGAGAAAGAGTGAGTGCGTGAAAGAGAAGGAGAGTGAATTATCGTGAAAAACTTGCTTGTGCTCAGAGAATATCTAACAATGCTGAATTGCTGTTCACAACCATTTTGTCTTAAATGTTACATTTGTTGAATTGAAATATAAAATTTTAGGCCGCAATAACGAATTTGCTGATAAATGCGTTAGCGAGTGAGAAAAAATAATAAAAATTAAAGGCTCTGAACTTTTACCGAAAAAGCTCACAAAAGATGCAAACGCAATATAAGAATTGTGTAATTCAGTAGCGTTTTTGAAGTAAAGTGGAAGCTTTCATCGAAAAAGCACACGATACACGGTGTAGTAAAAGGGTAAGGCAAAAGCGTTCAAGAAGAAAAGCTCAATACACTCTATATAATAGTCAAGTGAAAATTTTCATAGCAGAAAAAGTGAAAGCTCAGATCTTTTGACGAAAAAACGCTCATAAAAGCTCAATGCATGATATAATAATTGTGAAAGTGAAAAAGTTTCATTGAGAGAAAGCTCTTTTTTAATGAGAAATGTGAGGTGTCCAAGCTTTTTTTATTTCAACTTTCACCAGAAATGATTTCGTGAAAGCTCAAGCCCCAACATAATAACAGTGAAAGTCACAAGCGCATACAAATATCTAACTTTTAAACGCAAAAATTTGAGTGGTAAAAGCCATCAAGTTAAACATTCACCAAAAATGATTCCAATAAATACAAGTTTACTTCTTAAAATTAAGCGAAAAAATTTAAGGATATACAGAAAATTTTGTTAAAGGCTTTAGCTAAAACACGTTCACTAATAAATCTTAAAAAGTTTTCATTAAAAAACAATCACTGAAATAGCTTTTACCAAACCAAAAAAAAAAAAAAAAATCACTATAATAGCTTTCATTGAAAAGCTTCCACTAAAAAAGCTTTTAATAAAAAGCTCGCACAACTGTGAATCATGTTGTAGTTCTGAGTTTTCTAAAACAAATTTCGGAATTCACCAGAGCAATCACAAGCTCACCACACAGTTATCAGCTTTTCACACTCACAAGTTAGGCAACTCGCCAAATTTTGTCGGCCAGCACCTGTACGAAGCAACTCTCGCATTCAATTTCAACATGTATACTTAAAAATGAAAATTTTCTTTAAATTCATTTTGTTACGCTTAAATTAGTCTCAGTCTTCACAATAAGAGATTTCGAATAATAAAATATAAATTTTATCTTTTTTTAGTTTGCGTCTTCTCACGCACACGTTACTTAGCTACTCTCTACGCTTAAACTATATAGTTTGTCATTTCATATCTTACGTTTACATCTGCCTTTGTTTCATACAAGTGTCTTTCTGTTACGACTCCACGAAATAGCCCTCCATGGGAGAGCCAACACGCGCGCTTCTACGTCTTGCAGCCTCTGTATGCGCGTCGCAGCCGCCACTAAGCGCTCTCTGTCTTCACCACGATCGGCATGGAACCGCCGATACCGCTATGCATTGGTGATTTACCCGCCAACTCCTCGCTCTTCAACAGCATTGGTAAGTTCATCTTCACGTCGGCGAGTAGCGGCAGCGGTGACTTGGAGGGGCCACCCAACTCACCACCACCGCCAGCTGCGCCACCACCGCCGCCACGCTGTTGTGTCTCGTAACGCGTGTGTGTACGCATGTGGCGTGTAATCATGTCCCGACGACACGCGGCATACGGACATTGTGGACACTTGTACGGTTTCTCGCCGGTGTGTGTGCGCTGATGCGTAGACAGATGATCGGAACGTGAGAAGACTTGACCGCACACTTTGCATGTGTACGGTTTGACACCGGTATGTAGACGCATGTGACGTGTCAGCATGTCGGAGCGTGCGAAGGAGCGCGCACATACCTCGCACGAGTAGGCTTTGGTGATATCATTGGCAGGATTACGCGATTTGTGGCGCGATGCCATATGTTTGGCTAGGCGATCGTGCAGCGAGAACATCTGACCACACACGGGACAAACGTAAGCCACATCCGAGCCGGGTGGCATCTCCTCCACCACGGGAGAGACGTCGAGATTGTAACGCCATGCGACCGATTCCTTGGTGGTGGGCGATGCGACATCACCCTTGATCACCGGCACGCCCACCGTGGTGGTGGGTGCGTGCGGATGCAATGGATGCATTGGCATTTCGAGCTTAATCATAGCAGCGGCTGCGGCGGCAGCAGCATGTGCCGCAGCAGCAGCGGCAGCGTACGGCGAAACAGGTGCTGGAGAACTGGCTAACGGTGCATGATTGGCGCTATGGTTACTGTTATTGGCTGTGCTCGTTTTCACCGCGTTTTGGCTTGGCGACATGGAAGCGGCACTAACCGTAGCCGAAACAGGTTGCTGGGCTGGTGGCAACATCAATGTGGTCGCCGGCAAAGGTGAAGGCGATTTGTACTTTTTGCCACCCATCAGCTCATAGGTGGGCGTATTGCCACCGCTGCGTACAGACAAATCCAATGGACGCTCTTGTGGTGGCGGCATTATGGCCGGATCCGAAGTGTTGGCTTGCGTAGCCGGCGAAGGGCTGCAACGTGTATTGGCTGTGGCGGCAGCAGTGATTGACGAGTCGCTACGTGGTGGTGAGGGTAGTGCGACGGTGACGGCTGGCGGTGGTGAACGCCCCGGACCGCCGACTGCAACACGTGCCGTAGCTGTGGAGGTTGGTGGAAATGGCGGCGGCGGATGATCGAGATGAGCGCCGGCATTTGGCAAGCTTGTCGGTGAGGTCTCATCAGCAATCGATGAAGCGATCGACGACGGTGTATGCTGCATTGGTGATGTGTAGAGATCCTGCCGTCGGCGAAACACTTCATTCAAATACTTGGTATGTAAGTAGTAGCCAAAGAGTGGCGACGGTATAGGAAAGTAACGATCATAAGGATTATGCATGTGCTCAGTCTTGATGTCGACATGCAGCGGATTGTCGCTGGGTGTCGTTGTAGCGGCGGCGACAGCGGGATGTTGTGACGCACCACCACCGGATGGACTGTCATGTGTCGAGACCAACTGTAGTGGGCTCATGCTGATGCGTGGACTATCGTTTTCAAGTGATAAATCCTCAGACACCGCATCGACATCGGCTTCCGTCTCAGCCTCGGCCTCAGCCTCATCACCGCTAACTTCACTGATGGTGCGCTTATTACACGTTAACGCTTTCCCGCTATCGTTGCCGCAGTTCTGACGTTTCGCGCACACATTATTGTTGCCACCGCTGTTATTGTTGTTGTGCTTATAATTAGCCTCGTTCTCGACATCCTCATCGCCGTCCATCGGCTCCGCATGACTGTGATTGTGATTGCCGTGTTCACCAACATTGTTGTTGTTATTATTATTACCGCCGCCACCGCCACCGCCACCATCATTATGCATGCTGCCACCACTACTGCTGTTGTTGTTATTATTGTTGTTATTGTTGTGATTATGCAATTTATCCAACACGGCCGACAAGCGTTTCCGCTTGCGCTGCTTCCACGGCACATTGTTGTTGGCCACGAAAGGCTGATTGTTGTTCACCTGCTCAGCGGCCACCGCGGCCGCAGCCGCCGCAGCAGCAGCCTGATGTTGCAAGCTAAGCGCCAATGGCAAATGTTGCGGCAACGGATACTGTTGCATATGTGCCGCAGCGGCGGCGGCAGCAGCAGCGGCAGCATAAGGCGCATAATGAGGATGTGACGTTGGTTGGCGCTGATGCAGCTGCTGCTGGTGCGGATGTTGATGATGCGGATGCTGATGCTGGTGCTGGTGGCTGTGCTGATTGTGGTGGCTGTGATGGGAGCCCGCCTGATGCCCCATGGGGTCGGTGCCTTCTGCCATAGTCATCAGGTCGCCGCGTTTTCGGGGTGTTTATGTCAGGTTTATGTTAATTAAAATGCGCGCACTGTGTCTCGCACGTAAAATCTTGCTGTCTACTGCTGCTCGAGCAGCGTGTATGCTAGTGCTCAACTCTGTTGTTGCGGCTAGCTTGTGGCATTTGTTGTAAACGCAGCGTGATCTGTAAGAAATAAGAGGAAAATGCGAGGTCAGTAAATTGTAGTTAAGTGAAAAAATTAGTTAAGCTTAAAGTAAGTTATATTTAAGTCCATCCTAGCATTACTAGCTCCACCTAATACATATAAAGTCAAATGGAAATCATTGATGCATCAATATAAGTCGAAATAATAAAGTTTACTGTCAGCAGAAATTCCCTTTTTTACTCAGTTTTTTTCCTACTCTGCAAAGCAATTTGCTGCGCGTTGACGTTGGCATGCCCCCAAAAGGCCCTACTGACCCGACAAGTGCACACAGTCATCTACATCAGCCAGCAAATCAGCGTGTGCACCATAAATCCTCTACGAACATTACTAACTTTTGCTTCAGTTTACGCTGCGTTGACTCGGCGGCGACAGAATCTTTTTTGCTTGCCACCACTCTCCACAACTGCTAATGCTGCTACAGAAGGCGGCACACAACAGACATACACGCGCGCTCTTGCCACGGAGTCAAAGTAGCCATTGGATGGCTGCCTGGACGCCGGGCTGCCTGCCTCGACTGGCTGGCTGGATACTTTATTTTTCCGCAAAGATTTTATGGTGCGCAAATTTATTACACTTGCCTGACCAGCGCCAGCGCCAACACCGACAACACCGCCAACTTACACCCGGAACCACAACCCATTGAGGTGCTGTCCACACAGTGCAGCGCAGCCCGCTTGTGACCATTGCTGCCACACGGAGTGGCAAATCGAGTTGATTTTGGGCACTCAACGTTGTGACAATAGTTTGGGCGCAACGCCAAACTCATGCAACCAAACCACGCCTGACGCACGCTCGGGCCTAAATCAATGGACTTGTGGACTTGAGGATGGCTATGATGCGACAATTTATCGGCGCTTGTTACTACCGAGATGATAGTAGGCGATAGGAGCGCAGGTTAGACAAAAGTAATCAACGAGCTCCAAATTTAAGGTAAAGTGCTGGTTAAAAAAAAAACAATATAACAACAACAAAAGTATAAGCACGAGGCACTCTGTAAGTTAGCTGCTGCTGCATGTCTTGCAACCAACCGGCCTCGTGTAGTAGGAGGTGTGTGCGCAAGCAATTTCGCACATTGAAAGATGTTGCAAGCACAGCTGTAGTACTTGTTGTTTTTGCTGGCATTTGTGTTAGCCATGACGACGTTTGCTGCATTGCGCTTATCCTCGTGATATATGGATATTGTGTATATTTGTGCATCACAGGCCGCGCTGCCACGATTTGCCACCAAATATTGTTCTAAATAGCAGTTGTGGCAACAACGCCCGCAATTGACTTCGCCACACAGTTACACACGGCATACATGCATCTACACTTGTTTATACATTGGCGTTACGCTGTGTGTGCTCTCACTTGCAACACGGCGCGCCGGCAACCTGCTAGTCCTTTGGTCCTTGTGCCAACTTCTTGCCATTTTTCTTTGCACGCTCGCCCATATTGCTTTTATTTGTGTATGTGGCAAGCACCTCATGCCTGCTGAAAAATACAAACTGTGTGCGGCTAAAGGTCTGCTTACTGTAAACAATTGCTTGACTGCCTCGTGCTGCACGAAGGTGAAAGGACATATGGACGATGAAAGGACCTTGCCTCAACTGAACGCCGCGCGCTCTCGCGCACATCGCACACATGCTTACCGAAAGCGTTGAAGGTGAAATAAAATATTACAACAATAGCAACAACAAGGTGCGAGAGCAAGTGTTGACAAAAGCAACAACAACAAAAATAACTACAACACGTGCGCCTTCTGACTGGCCGTGTACAGGGGGTTGCGCGGGCGTGTGTGTGCGTTTTGGCGCATGTGTTGATGTGGCAAATTGTTGACTGCAGCTGTTGTGTTGTTCTTTTGCTGCTCTTTGTTGCCACACCCGCCTGCCATATGTGTTGATTGCACGCCGTCGTGTTGTTGATGAGGTTTAATAGACTCGATGAAGTGCACCGTTGTTGCAGCTTCAACTAACGGCAAAACAAAATTACAAAAAGCAATAACAGAAACAACACGTGGTCGCTGGTTTTGAATATCTGCATGATTTTTGTTTATTTTTTTTATATTTTTTGGTTTTGTTTGGGATTATCAGTGATAGCGGTAAAGTTTCTATGAATTTAATGCGGTTGAATGGATAAACTTCGCGGGAAACTTAATATGCGGGATAATAAAGGAAATGATATCCGCATTGTAGCTTAGTGGCAAATATAATATTGATGGGTTAGCGGGTGGATTAGATGTGGATGGTGGAAAAAAACAATTTTTATTAAAGATTTTTTTTTTTAATTTCTGCGTCGAACCGTGGCACAATTCTAATTTTTTATAATTTAATTTTAATTAGTAAATATTAATTATTTTTTAATTTAATTTTAATTAATTAATACATTATAATTTTTTAATAATTTAATTTTAATTACTTTTTTAATTAATAAATTCTAATTTTTTTAATTTTAATTTTAATTAAATAGAAAATTAATATTTATTTTGATTTATAGTATAATATTTTTATACCAAAAAAGTCTACCACAATCAGTGTCATCCTACATCACTTCAGAACTGTAAATTCACTGTCCACTTGTGTCTACTTCTAAATCCACATTGTATGGCAACCACTTTCTAGCCACAGGCACGCAAAAATTTACGATTTGAAACCAAAACTTTTATTGTTAAACCGAAATATTTGAGGTGTCTGCAACACTACTGCAGTAATGATTGGGATAGCCAGCCAGTGTGGCAAGTAATCTAGCCAGCAAGCTAAAGAGAAGTAAATATTTGGGGGCGTGGCACAATTGTCTGACCGAAAAGCAATTATTTTGTGCTAAATGCTATTTTCCATTTAATTTCATGAAAAAAAATGAAATGAAAACATGAGTGAAGAAAAAGTATAAAATCTTATATTGAGGGGGTTGGATAGAGTTTGACTCCAGTGCATGTAATTTTTGAAATTTTAAATCGATCTTTTCGCTAATTGTTTTTGTAATTGCATTGTCAAGCTTATTTTTACTGTCAACGAGTTCATTTGGAGTTTTGAACCTATTTTCTGCCGAAAATTTCTTTCTATTGTAGTTGTATCCAAATTTCGATAAAGAGAAGAAAAAAGTTTTTTCTACATATTTGAGTTTGGCATTAGACTTAACTTTTTATAAGTGTTTATCATTTAACACTACTCACTAACTCGAGTTTATTAACAATTTATAAGAAAGACATTAAGCACTCTTACAAATATATAGTGTTTTCTATAGTTTATGTTAAATTTTAGTCTTAAGCAACAACACTGGAGTATGTCTTGACACTTTTAGAATTATTAGTAATTCTTCACTAGCCAATTTTAGTTTTGAGTTTGAGATACTCATAAATACCGAGTTGATTTCAAATGTTCGAGTTTAGTACCAATTTTAGCGTTAAGCATTAAACTCCACTAATAAAATGTTAGTTTATGCTAAATACTCCCGTTTATTTTAATAATTCCAGAGCCTTTAACACTATTTACAAGTGCAGAGTTTATTCCAAGAGTTTAGTTAATGAACAATTTTAGTGTTGAGCAGTAAACTTTATTTTTATAGTCATTAAACACTACTAATAAATATGGAGTTTATTCAAAAAATTCGAGTTTATGACCACTTTCAGTTATCAACATTAAACTCTATGCACAAAATATGAGTTTAAGTTAAACACTCGAGTTTATTTATTTAATTTTAAAGTTAATCAAATCAGTAAATTTACAAATTCAGAGTTTACATCGAAAATAGTGACTTAGTTTAAGCAGAACGCAACTTTATTTTAAGTTTTTGAAATAGAGTTGTATTTAACGAGAGGAACTTCGTCGCTGGTTGGAAAAATATAGCTTGAATGTCAGAAAGCCGACCACAATCTATAAACAGCTGTCAAAAATAGTAAACTCAGCGTTGCTTAAAGGCTTATATAATTATATAACTACATGGAGAACTTCTTAAGCACTCCTACAAGAACATTAACTTTGACTTTTATAAACACGAAAGCTTAAATGCGAGTTTGTAAAAAAAATCACTATAGAACTTAACCTTAAAATCTAACCTACATTTTTTCTACAGAACTTTGCGGTAGTTACAAAACATGCTCTCTCGCTCTCTCCACGCAATTTACAAATATATAGAAACAATAAAAATCTCATAGCGCCTCAACGGCGTCGCTGAACTTCAAAATGTGCAAAATTAACTGCCACAAGCGCAATTATTTTTTATTTCACTTAACTTTTCATATCTCTTACAATATTTTCCATTTTTATTTTCGATAATTTTTTTAGGATATTTTTCTGAAAACTTTTTTCTGATTTTTTTATAATTTTTTTCTGAAAATTTTTTTTAGAATTCTTCACCCCAAAACTATTGTGTTGCGTTGTCTTGCCGAAAGCACCAGCAGAGCGTCAAATAAACAACGGTGCAATTAATAATCATAATTAGGGTAATTATGAAACAACGTGCTGACAATCATGCCAAAAACTTTTGCCTTGCAAACGCCCGCGTGGCCGCCAGCAAGAAACAACAAAAAGAGCTTATCAAAAGTGAAAAACAAAAAATTGCAAAAAAACACTTCCAAAAAGGCGCAAATGAGGAACTTTTGTGCAACAATAAATTTCACACTTCGTGCAACAAAAAACAACAATAAAAAATAAGAAAACAAAAAATAAATAAAAATGATATAAAAGATCGTAAAAAATCGCAATAATTGTAATAAAGTATTTTCTCTTTCATTCATTTGCGCATTGCACTTGCCATATTGGGATTTTTTTTTGTTGTTGTCCGCCTTCATGCTTTTTGCCTCACTGCATTGTACTTGCTGTTCTCGTTGTCATTAAGGAAACTCGCCGCGCTTCCGTTTCTTCGGCGCCCAGCGGCACTTGGCGCTTACTGGCTTACCGTTGTTGTTGTAGCAGCTTACAATAAATTACAAGGCTGCGTTCGGCTGTTTTATTTTTGTATTTTTTCCACACTTTTTTATTGCACCACATCGCATAATTTT